CTCACGTGGCGCGACGTACTCAGGGATTGTCTAGTGTGTTTGGCGACCCGTGCCCGGGCACGGTCAAGACGCTGAGCGCCCGCGCCATGTGCACGCCCCACTTGACGCCCGGGTTTATCCAGAGCATGGGACCGCAGGGCGGGTCGACGGTGGTCACGTGTCCTCGCGGCGAAACCATTTCCGACATCCCGTTCGCCTCGTATGGCACGCCTTCAGGCTTGGCGGCGCCAGGCCAGTGCCACGCGGCCTCAAGTGAGTCGATTGTCAAGGCCAGGTGCATCGGGAAGCGGTCGTGCACGGTGGACGCGACGAACGGGTACGATTTGAATCGTATATACCTCGCACCTCACATACAGTGTAGCATCTTTGGTGACCCGTGCCCCGGTTTGACCAAGAGCTTGTTCATTGCCGCGCAGTGCTCGAGTGCCAACTTGGTCGGCGGCTCGGTGCCCGACGGTTCGACGCTCACGATTGCGTGCCCACTGACCCAACGGCTCGTGTCGATCCCGTACGCTTCGTACGGAACACCGACCGGTGCCTACCCCAACTTTGTGACGACGTGGTGCAACGCAACCGACACGGCGACGGTCGTCACGACGTCTTGCGTCGGTCGCAACGCATGCTCGGTCAAGGCCGACAGCAAGTAGTGACCTTTTCTCCACGCTGTAGAAACCTAATGTGCGCGTAGCGAGTTCGGCGATCCATGCCCGGGCGTCACCAAGCAGCTCTCGGTCGTCGCCAAGTGCGTTGACAATAACCTCATTGGTGGCTCGGTGGCGGACGGCGGGTCAGCGGCCATCCAGTGCCCAGCGGGGCAGTACATTGGGTCGATTCCGTTCGCGGCGTATGGGACACCGTACGGGACCTTTCCCGACTACTCGGCGCACGCGGCGTGCAACGCCGAGGGTGCAGCCGCCAAGATCGCTTCGCAGTGCGTTGGCCGAAACAGCTGCGCCGTGTCTGTCTCCACCCAGTGCGCACACCGTTGACTGCATCCAACGGTCGAGCTCACGCGATTGTAGAACGTTTGGGGATCCGTGCGAAGGCGAGGCCAAGACCCTCGACTGGACCGCCAAGTGCGCACCCAACAACGTCATTGGCACGATCGTCAATGACGGCGGCAGCGCGACGCTGCAGTGCCCGCTGGGGCACTACATGTCGGCCATCAACTTTGCCTCGTACGGAACGCCGGGTGGCAGCTTCCCCGATTACGCCATCGACACGACGTGCCACGCCGCGAGTAGCACGTCGATCGCAACGTCGGCGTGCGTCGGCAAGAGCACGTGCACGCTGCTTGCAAGCCCTGGATCGTTCTCGGACCCGTGTCCGGGTGTCACAAAGAGCCTCGCGGTGTCGGCCGACTGCATCTCCAACCTCGTGATTGGCGGCACTGCGGCACAGAACACGATGATGAACCTCGCGTGCCCCAAGGGAGCGACCGTCCGCTCGATCGACTTTGCGTCCTACGGCACGCCAACGGGGAAGCTCGGTGCGTTCGCTCTTAGCGCGTGCCATGACCCCAACTCGGTCCGGATCGTGCAGCAGGCGTGCTTGGGCAAGACGGGCTGCTCCATCAGTGCGAGCAACAGTGTCTTTGTCAACAACTGCCGCCGCACGCAAATGTACTTGGCCGTGCAGGCCACGTGTGCGACGCCGACGCCAGCGACGACTGCCTTGCGCACGCCAACGCCCAGTTAAGCTAACGTCGTACACGACGTGCGTAATTCAATGTGTCTTTTCTGCATCCGACAGCTATCTTTTACGTTGCGTGGCGCGTTGCAGCACGTCGTCTGCACTCGTAGATCGCTTTTGGTGGTCTCTGCGCACCGCTCAGACCTCCACCGCCGGTAGCTAGCACCGTGCGGGACTTGCATGTATCGTGCTAGTAGAAACGATAGGTTATCAAGAGCACCCCGGGTCGAGCCGATTGCTTACCGCCACGATGTTTGAGCATCGGTGCATTGCAATGGGATTGTCGGTCCTGGGAGTCACGACGCCCAGCATGGGAAGCCATATCTTTACACAGGATAGTACTGTCTATCCGAAGGAAGCGGAGTTTCACAACGACCCCCTCAAACAATTGCGTCAGACCTTTTTGCCGTCGACACCGAGATTGCATCAGTCAAGGAGCTCACGAGACTGAATCCCGTTTGGCGTCCCATCGCTTGCATTGCTACACTCATGGAATGTGTCTTTTGCGCTTAACACACCGACCGTCGACGGCGTGACCGTAGCACCACTGCACGGCCGTGCAACGGACTGAGACATGATGCACAAGCTGATGGGTTGCAACGACCCTCCGGTGCTGAACAGTCGCGTCTAATTCGAGGCGCAAAACTCCCCTTGCAGCCTTTCCGCCCGAGACGGTGTCGGCGCCGGGAGTTTCGCCCGTGGCAGTTGATTGATGCGGGAGTTTCGGCCTTTCTGCGGCGGCGCGGCTGGAGCTCATATCCCAATTTGCTTCGTGCAAATATGAAAGTCTTCCCGTACGGTCGCCAGCTCTCGCTCACGCTGCCTTTGCTGCTCCTCAAGGCGCAGCGGGGCCGCGCGCAAGCGCTGGGTGGCATTATCGGTGGCTTGGCCAGCGAAGGCGACTCGCT